ACGTTTATCTGCACTATTGCTGCTCTTGCTAAATATGATGTTTACATAGTTTTCCTTCTGTTTTTAATAGTTAAGTAATGATGTTTCTGTTTCTTATCCCTCCCTAATTGTGGTATTTATCCATAGAAATTTATTAAATTAAGGTTAAAATAAATACATTTTCTTTGTTAATGGAAAAGTTACAGCGATCTAGACTATTATGCGGTCATGATTTAAGTAAGGTTTTTACTCGTTACCCTTTAGTTGTGTAGTTTCCACGAAAGTGTGTTGTAGTGCTGTCACCTTTTATCTTGAGAGCTACGTTAAATGATTCGGCAGTTTTCAGTTGAGTGAGATTGCTTTATGTTTTTATGTTACTCTCGTAAAGTGGCACTAAAGTAATAGTATGAGCTTTACCACTGTAATTTTTACCGAACTGCGGTGACTCAAGGTTAAAACGTTATCTTGCCCGTTAAATTTTATCCTAGAGTTGGTTCTACGTTAAAAGTAGGGACTAAAAAAACATGTGGTTAAAAACCCTCTATGGCGACCTGCTTTTATGGATATAAGCTAAAACATCAAGTAGGCTTGAATATTTATATCTATATCCTCTACATCTTTTGACCCTTTCAAGGAAAGATCTAATTCAGCGAGCTATGTATATGGCTGTCGTGCTTTAATTGAACTTCCTAATTGTTAACATATACCCAAGAAAGCTTTAGAGATGGCTGACCCACGTTTTGAAAGAATTGCTTTGTAAACGGTGAAATCAGAGGTAAATAGTGGCACCTTTGGAGGGCTCCACAGTACCTAGATCTTAGCATGCAGTACTACTGTTTTGTGACAAAATGCTGGTGCGCTTTGTTCGATAAGTGCGCTGATGCGGGGGTCAACCGCCGCTGCTATTGTTAATATACTAGCTTCGTTGCCTGTTATACCAAGCCGGTTATAAAGTTGTATAAAGATAAATAACGCAAATATGTGTGATCGAAGTAACAAATAATGGGGACACTAATTTCGAATAAAAGGAACTACCGTTAAGCTGGGTAGTAAAGGACGTAGAACTAGATCGTAGGAATAAGGAAACCAAAAGAGAACACTAAGGGTTCTAAGATCGTAGAAATAGAACTAAGAAAACTGCAGAACCATTCGAGAACAACAGAACTTAAAACACGTAAAGATAACGCTTTTATATGAAAAATATAGCAAATTCCGTTCCATCTGAGAGGAGGACATTAAATCTACACACCTACAAGTGAAGAAGAGAAAATTAACAATTTTATGTTCAATAAATTTAGATTAGGTTAATAGTTTATTGTAGGCATTTGATGAGGTCTGTATTAAAACCTCGAATGGTAATATTTAGATGAACGGATTAATCTAATAAGGGATTAGAAAGCGCTGATATGATGCTGTTGCCATAACATTGTGTACCCTTGCTCCTTCTAATGGCCGGTAGAACCATTAAAACTAACTTTAAATTGGTGAGATGGCTAATTTACTCTACGTACTCTATCTAAAGCTAAATAGTTGCGGACGAAAGCTAAGGATAGGTTACAAAATGAATTCAACATTTCAATGAGTCTTTAAAAAGGCTGTCAAGATGAGTAATGCTTAATAACACTATTTGCCATTATTTCTCGGTTGGTGAACAACTAGTTGGTACTGATTTATCCGTAAAGTAGCTCATTTATGGACTTTATTATGCTCTATGACGTTTAGCTGACTAAATAATTTACCGAACTTGATATCATTTACTTTAGTTGTATGGTACCATGTAATGGTACTTTACGAATTATTTACTAGTATATACTATAATGAATGCGGCCCTCTGCTATGCTTATACCTGTACTGTATTCAATGTTTTTTTAACTAAGTAGTTTTTTTTGGGACTGCTGAATTGTGCAAAGGAGCATTATAAACGTGCCTAAACTTTTTTCTTAAAGTGTTGCTCATCTATCTATTTAATATACCTTTGTTAAATGTTAAATATTTGTTTATACGTTAGTAAGAAGTTTATAGGTTTTAGCTAGGTTTTAGCTGTAATAGTAGAAACTTATATGCATAACGTCATCTATTCATCCTCAATCGCTGATTTAGAATTCTGCTTCTGTCTAATTAGACTATTAACATATATAAAAGTATTAACATCTAATAATCAATAAAAACTATTAAAACTATTAAAAACCCTTGGTTTTTTTTAATGCGTACATAGTTGGTAGTATAGATAAAGTGCTGAAACAAAAGATATCTTTACTAATTTCAGTGGGCATAATTGTAGTGTATAGAAAAATTAAGAGATAATAACTATTCATTTGTTGGTATTACAACTACAAGCTGGTTATGAAAGAAGTGTTCTGTCGTACTCCTAAAGTTTATTGTTGAAGTAGTTTGCAACGTGAAGCATGGTCACACATTTATATAGGAAACACCAAATATAAAATATAGTAATTTGTGGCTTTATATAAATTAATTACTTTCATCTAACAAGTTTAATATCATATTCAGCAAAAACTGTGAGAACCAGTAATTTTTCTTAAACAATAGTTGCTACTTTTCAATAGAATAAATGAAGTTAAAATGTATGAGGATAGACACCGCCTCGATGGCAGTGTTTTATATAATTCTAAATAAAAAATTTTAGAAGATCACTAAATAACACCAATGAGAAAATTTGAATTTTTAGGCGAGCGTATTACAGGGATTAAAAATTTACTCTTGTAAGGTAATTGGTTAAAGGTCTATATTATAGCGCTTGCTAAAAGCATGTGAGCTTAACTTTTTTACTAAAGGGTAATATTAAGTAGCGAATACTTCCTAGAATCAGCTAAAAAATTATAAAAAAAATAAAAATTAAGCTAATTTTGTTTTTTCTATAATAAAAAGCTTTTGTACTTTAATCCTTTTTACTAATTTTTTTCTTCTTCTACTATTTATAGTTTTTAAATTTTATTTTTGTTTATTAATTCTATTCTGGCTTATGCACAGCTTAAATAAAGATTTTTTTATTTTAATCACTCTAATTTAATTTAATAATTTTTCCATTTTTCTATTTTATATTTCGCGCTTGCAATATACAGAGAACCTTATAATAATAGTAATTATAACTTTAACCTGTTAAGCAACTTTATGAGCTAAGGAGTTTTTTTTTAGGTTTATTAAACTTTGCCTTTTAATATTCTTAAGGGTGTAATAAAAGTCATTTTGCAAAATGTAGAATATTAAACGGGTTCAAAATTTTATTGAGAGGAATGAAAAATAAAAACTATATTCTATTAAAAACCTCTTAGATTAACTCAAACTCTGGTACAACTTCTAAATGCATATGTTTTAAAGTAATTGAGATTTAGTAAATCCAAATTATTTTTTTGATAATGTGAACATCTTCATCTTCTTAATAACCTTTACGTTGTATTATATAATCCATTTAACAGTTCTGCGCTTCTGAGCTTCCTATAAATTTGTCACGCTCACCACTATAGATATTATTTCTATAATAGTATATTTTTATCTTATTTTAACAATACTTCGAGGAGATTTTTATTGTGTGCTGGGAGAATTCGGAAAGATAAAAACATTAGGAAAGCTCCTCAGTACAGTTCCTTTTCCTTTCTTTCCTTAGAATTCAACAAAGCCTGTTTTTTCTTTAAAGTTGGGAATCATCTTAGAAGTAAAGTGCAGCGAAGAAAAATAGAAAAAAAAAAATAACTTTGTCAATATAAAAGTATTGAGCTAAACCGTTTTATTATAAAATAATTTATGCAATGACAACTTTGCCGGCTGGGCAATAATATAATAACTTGGATCCGACTTGCCTTCTTTTTTAACTGAAACGGAATAATTTAGGGGATTTCTTTAGGCATTCCACATAAACTATTTTAATACATTTTTATAGTGAAGAAAGTTACTGAATTTTAAATTAATAGAGATGTATAAACTACATTTACTTAAAAATAGCATGAAGTTCATTATATATAGATTCGTGAAATAACTTTTCTAGTAAACGAGTAAACTCTTCAAATTTCGACTGTGTAAAAAAAGTTATTAATAACTTTTAACGGAGATATTAAAATCAGTATTAAATTTGAACTTAATTAACTTTAGTATAACATTTATTCTTGTATAAATAAGCAATAACGATATTTTTGATAATTCAACAAGTTACCTCAAAAATACTATTAATCCTAAATATAGATTCTTATTCATTTACATTTTAGTTTAATTTATTTTAGTTTTTGGTAGTTAAAAAAGGCTGTTTACGTTTAACTTTGTGGAAATCAACTTTTACAAAACATGTTTGGACTTTTGGTGATATTTATCTAAGCTAGTATTTTTATACAATAACATCTTTACCTGTTTAAAAAAAGTTGCTACTTTTATTTAAGCAAAAAGTGGGTTTATTAAAAATATTAAAAAGGAATTATGGAGATAAAGCTTAAAAGATATGATTGACTAGAGGTGAACTTAAATTGACTAATTTCTTAAGATACTATTACTAAAGAGCTAAAATATAAAACAAACCAAGAAGAACTGTTGTTTTTTTTATTTTTATTTTCTTCTTACTTTTCAATTGCGTTTGTAAAAAAACTTTCTAAAAGGCTTAACCAAAAAGGTATACTTATGATTAAATTCTTAAAATACATTATTTACTAACGAGCTACGTACAAGAGCTGTTCTCAATCTTTTTTAACTTTTCTGGTGATGCGTTTATAATAAACCTGTAGCGGAGGTTTCACCATACAAAAACTTTAGCATTTTTTCGTTGCTATTAAGAACATGGCTATTCAAATTAGTTATTCTGTAAACTTCTCTTCGCGTACAGCCAATAAGAAATAAATTCAGGAGCCAAATAGCGTAACGGTTATTCAACCATGACTAATTATGAGGCCACTTTTACTTTTAATTAACAAGCAATCACGCCGATAAGAACATATAGAGTTTTTGTTTGAATCCAATATATATATATATATAATGTGTATTAATGTTACAAGACTAGAGAAAAAAGCTATTAAAATATAGTAATTTGTTATTCCTTTGCTTGAAAGGTGGGAAAATCTCGATAGTTTTAGGATTCCGCTGGAAAGCAATTCAAAGTTTACTTTACCTTTGGCTAAGAAAAGTAGTTAAAAAATATTATAAAGTCTTTTTTTCGTAATGACTTCCCTCCCTACTGTGTATAAAATTCCTAATTCTGGTGAAAGGGAGAGCAGTACTAGTAAATCTCCGTCAATCTCTAGACTTACATCTATAAAACTTGATCAACTCGGACTCAATGATTTAAACTCTCAACTTCTTGCTTCCGAAAAATTTAGAAGCCGTCTTCCTATTACCGATCAATTAAAAAACAGTCATCTTTCTTCAAAACCACAGACTGCTTCCCTTGAGCTAAATCAAAAACTTGTTAGTCAATACCAACAAGGCCGAATAGAGGGTATAAACTTAATAGTTTCAATTTTATTTTTCAAGGAAATTTAATTTATAAATAAGATTGTTCTCTTAACTGCTATTATATATATATTTTAATATAAGGTCGTCAATTCGGTTCCCACGAAGAAAGGAAGTTTACAGAATATTCCAAAGTCGATAAATACGGATTTATAAGCGAAACCGAACTCTCTAGCTTGAAGTTATATTTTATATTATATGATAGTTTTATAATTACTACTAATTTTATTAAAAAAATAATATAAGTTCGCCGGAAGATGAGAAATGGGAAAAAAAACTAAAAAAAAGAGAAATTAAATGGAAAAAAATGGTTGAAAGTTGGCCGAGATATATAAAAGATGGGCATCACCGAAAAATTGTAGAAAAATAGTTAAACTTATTAAATTTTCTAATTTTTTTTTTTAAAGATAGTCGAAAGAATATATAAAGGGCTCCCGGATTCTTTTCGTGCTTATGTTTGGAGTCTTTTTTTAAATTTAGACAACTTTGTGGTTCCCAATGAATATGAGGCACTTACTTTTTTTCCTTCCTATTTTTAATATTTTATAAAAATATATTTTATTAACTTTATTATACTTTAATTATTTTTATTGGATTTAAATTTTTTATAATGCTTTTTTTTGGAGCGCAATATTTTTGGTCCTATTCATATAATTAATAATTTTATTTTTTAATATAATGAAGCGCCTAATTTTTAGATTTTTTTTTTACTTTTATCCATATTATTATTATTTATTATAATATTTTCTTTATTTTTTTTAAGTTAATAATATTTTTCCTATTATAATTTTTAACCCATTATTTTTAGACTTTTTTTACTTCTATTCTTTTAACTAATATATATATTATATTATATTAACTTTATAATTTTACTTAAATTATTTTTTTTAGAGCGAATAATACTAAATTTTTTTTACTTCTACTTTTATAAAATTTAGTTTTACCTACTTCTTTTTACTATTGTTCAAATCCTCTTCTTTTATTTTTTTTTATTTTAATATCATTTTATTTACAGTTTGTATAAATTATTACTTTTTTAATTTAATTTTTATTCTTTAGAAGCTGAAACACAAACTTTTAAACGATCCTTTAATTAATGTTGATCTTCATCAAGTTGATTTAGATATTAACAGGACTTACAGGAACCATGTGATGTTTTGGGAGCGTTACGGACTAAAGTCATTTTTATTTTAAATTATGCTATTAGTATAATTCTAATTAAATTTTATTATATAGAATATATTTTTATATAATAATTATTGCTTTTTTTATTTTTTAAAAATCTTAATTTATTTTTTTTAAATTTAATTTTATATTTACTTTACAATTTCCTTTTTTTTTAAATTTTGATTTAAATTGTCATCACTTCTACTTTTATTATATTTAAATTTTATTTTGAAGATTATTTTTATATAATTATTGCCTTTTTTACTTCTTAAAGTAAATTTCAATTTATTTTTTTAATTTATTTTAATATTTTTATATCCAAATCACATGTTTATAAATGAATTTTTTATTTTAATTTTTAATTTAATTTTATTTATTACTTTTACTATTATTATTAAATTTTATTTTTATTCAGTTTATTTTTTTAATATTTTCTATTAATTATTATTATATTAAGAATTATATTATTATATTTATATTATTTTTAAATTTAATATAATGTTATTTATTACTTTTACTATTACTATTATTAAATATTACTTTAAAGTTTATTTTTTTATATATTACTTTTTTCCTTTTTTAATTTATTTTTAATATAAAATTGCATTTTTATAATTTCCTTATTTTTTTAAAATTTTGATGTAAATTATGTCAATTTCACTATTACTTTAACTAATTTTTATATAAAAATTATTGTCTTTTTTAAATTTATATTAATTGTTTTTTATTAATGCGTGAATGCAATTACTTCCTTTTATAATGAAAATTACATCTTTTATAAAATTTTACTTAAAAAAGTAGATTTTGTTTTTTTTTAATTTTTTTTATAATAAAATTATTTATTCTTTTATGTTTTTTAAATAAATTTTTGTAAAGCAATTTTTTTTTTATATACTCCTAAATTATTATAAATTTTAAAAAAAATAATAATAAATATTAGAAATATAATATAAAAAAATATTTCCAAGATAAATATAATAATTCGAAAAAAAAATATTCATATAATAAAAAAAATAAAAATAAATTATTATTAGTATTTTTTTTTAGTCAGTACTTAAATGCATTGTAGCAGATTAAAAATATTATATTAATTTAAAGGAAATTTGCAACTTTTATTATTAATTTTTAGTTTTTTTTTTTAATATTACTTTTGATTTTTTTATTACGTAAAAGTTTTTTTTAATATCTTTTTTTTGTAATTTTATATTAATTAAATTATTTTTCATTAAAAAGTTATTACTTTTATAATTTGAACTTTTTTAAGTAAATTTGCAATTTTTATTAATAAATTGTTTTTGAACTATTTTTATACTTTTTTAAAGAAAATTTTATTTTATAATAAAAAAAAGAAAAGTTTATATTTTAATTTTTTTTTTTAAATTTGTAATAATTTTTTTTATTTAATTAAATTTTAAATTATTATTAACAATAATATTTATATTTTCCTATAAAGTTATATTAATTTATTGTTTCTAATAAAATTGTTTCTAAATTATTTTTTTTTCAAAATAATTTATAATCAAAAAATTAGTTTATATTTTTAATTCCTTTTTTTTTTATACAATATTAATTTGTTTTTTTTAAATTTTAAAATAAATTTCTTTTTTTTTTCCAGATTATATATTTATTGTTAAAAATTTTAGATCCAAATTATATAAATTTAAATATTTTTCAATAATAAAAATTGTTTTTAAATTTTTTTTTTAGGATTTTTAATAAAAAAATTTAAATGAAAAAATTCAAATTTAAAATTTTAATTAATTTTTTATAATAATTTTTCATAAAATTATTATTTCTAATTTAAATTTTTTATAAACTCCCAAGTTTATTTTTTTTTTAATCTTTTTACACAATTTTTAATTTTCTTAAAAGTTATATATTTCTTTTTCCCAAAATTTTGTTAATAGTAAAATTAAATAATTTTTTTTTTTAAATAAATTTCGTTATTTATTAATGAAATGAATTATTAAAATTTTTTTTATTTCCATAATATTTTATTAGCATTTTATTATTATTTATAATTATTTGAAAAATAATAAAATTTAATTTATGTTTTATATAAGCTTATTTATATACAACTTTATTATAAATACTTTATTATCACTATTTTTAATTATTATTTAATATAGTTTTCCGTATATTTTATAAAAAAAAGTTAATATTATAATTTTTGAAAAATTTTTTGATTTTATATAAAATTGTTAATTTTATTATTATAAACTTTTTTTACAATTATTTATACTTCAAATGAAAATTTTTTTTATTTAAATATTTTATTTAAATTTATTTTTTTTTGAAATGAATTTATTATTTTTTTAATTATTATAACTTTTTTTTATTTTTACTTCTTTAAATGAAAATTTATATTATTTAATTTATTTTTATAATTTTTTTTAATTTCTTTTAAGGTAAACTATTTTTATAATTATCAATTTTTTTAAATATAAAATTTAATATTAATTTTTATTAAATGTTATAAAATATTATTTTATATTTATATTAATTTTTTAATATTTTTTCGAGGTATGAATTATAAAAGGTTTTGTAGTTTTCTAATGTTTTATATTTCTTTATAATTGATATTTATTTTTTTTATAATTTTTTTTTATTATGAAAATTTATTTTTTAAATATTATAAACTATATTTATTTTATCTTTTGTATTTTTTATTATAATTTATATAATTCTTTTTAAAAAGTTTTTAAAATAATATAAATTTTATTTTTACTTTTATAATTTTTATTTTTTATCTTTTATTATAAAAAATTTATATTTCTAAATATATTTATTATTTTATTTTTATTTTCTAAAGTTTATTATTTATTTTTTACTATTTTTCATATTAAAATTATTTAAATTATAATTATTTTATGTAAATAATAAATTTTTTTGGAAAATTTTTATTAATTTTTTATTTTTTATTATTATTTTTTTTAAATATTATAAATTTTATTTTAATTTTTATAATTTATAGCATTTATTTTTTTTTACTATTTTAAAAAATTATATATATTTTCTAGATTTTATAAATATTATTATATTTTTCATACATATACAATTTTTTTTTTCTGCAAGGCAGCAGATGTTATTTTTTGTGTTGGGCTGTTATATGCTCTATAATCCGTCCGTCGGCTACATTCAATCAATGGCTGGCGTGGCCGCCATGCTTTTAATGTACTTCGACGAGGAGGTTTTTCTACTTATTATTATTGTTATTATTATATATTTTTCTTTATTATTATTACTTATATATTATTATTTAATAGTTTATTATTTTAATTTAATTATTATTATTTTGTAAGCCTTAATAACGAATAACAAACGCTATAAGAAAAGTCTGAATAAATGTTTTTTTTCATTTATCTTTTTGTTATTATTTATCTTAACTATTATGATATATTATTAAAAAAGTAGAAAAAAAATTTTTATAATAAAAGTTGTAAGAAAAGTTTAACGATTATATATTATTTATTATAATTATTTTACTATTTTCATTATATGTTATAATTCAGTATTAGTTTTTATAATAATTACTATAATTTATTCATTATGATTGTATATAATTATTTATTACTTATTTCTATTAATTATTATTTTTAGTTCATTATATAATTTATTATTATTAGTACCATCATTATTATTATTCTTAATATTATTATTTAGTATTTGTTATTTTTATTATAGCGTGCGTTTTGGAGCTTGCATCGGCTTATTAGTGATACTAAATACGACCTTGCTTCTTGTTATGCAGAAGGTTTGTATATTTTTTGTTACTTGTTTTTATTATATAGAAATATAAATAATATTTTTTTTAAAAAGTTTTTTAAAATTATAGAAAAGTTTATTTTTGTAATTATTTATTATTAATAAATATAATTAATATATTAAATATATTAAAAGTTATTTTTATTTCTATTTATTCTATAATAACTATAATAAATAAATAAATATAATAATAAAATATATAGAAATATAAAAATAAAATAAGTTTTATAAGTTTTATAAATATATATATAAAAATAATTAATATATTCTTTTTTTTAATAAGTTTTTTAAATATATTTATATAAGTTATTATTATTATTTACTATATTTAATATATTACAATATTTGTTGTTTGGTTAATTATTAAGGAATATATATAGAAGATTTCCTTATCATTATTATTATATTTATAAATATAAATAATATTATTGTTCCTTTGATTTTTATAAAAAAATTTATAAAAGTTATTATATTATTTATTTTGTTTAATAGTTTTTTTTATATATATATAAAAGTTTCAATAGTAATTATTATTTATTGTATAGAAATAGAAATAATATTATTGCTTATTTGGTTATTATAAAAAATATATTAAAATTATTATTATTATTTATTGTATAGAAATAAAAATAGTATTTTTGTTTAATAATTATATATATATATTAAAGTTTATATTATAATTAACATTTTATGGTATAAAAACTGAATTAATATTATGTTTGCTTATATATATAAAAAGTTTTAAATATTTCAGTTTTTTTAAAATAAATAAAAAAATAAAAAGAATTTGCTATTTTTTGAGCCGTTTATTATTTTTTTATAATATTTTTATAACCTGATCAACCATGATTGGTAACTCCTGGATGATTTGAACTAAATTGTAACATAATACATTTTAATCTACCAAGTTAATGATACAAATGTTTTCTATTGGTTCTTAATATTATTTGTATCAAATATTTGTTCTTTATGTTGCTATAAAATAATTCGTGGTTAAATTATAAACCTTTTTTGTTACCAATAATATATTTGGAACAAAATGGATGTTATATAATACCAAAAAGAAAGTTAAAAACCTTTTAAATTGATGCAGTTTAAGATAGTCGGGTGGCTAATGTATTATTTTATTGCAAAATAATACTTTAAAGATCTCCACTTGTTAAATAAAGATTATTATTATATTACTATCATATTATTACTATTATATTATTATTGTTTATAATAATAAAAAATATTTAAAAAAAGGATTTCCGAAACTTTTACAAGAATGGCGCTTGCATTCCAGTTTGATCCAACTTTTTTTGCCGAGTTTATATAAAAAAATGGTTTAAATGTTATATAAATTTTTTTTTATTAATTAATAATTCAAACTTTTTATAAGTAGAATAAGTAAAACTTTTCTAAATATAAACTTTTGGAAATAATTTTGTTAAATAATATTTTCATCTCAATAACTAATAATATTTATATTTTGATGAGTGAATGATGGTTAAAAATGCTAATGAAAACTATAATATATTTGTACTTGCATAGTATCAAGTATAAAATTTTTAGTACAAATATTAATAATAAAAAGAAAAAAATTATTAAAGGTTATATAAAAAAATATAGTAAAAAGTTATATATATTTAAGAATTTATTAAGAAGTAAAGCTTTCTACTTAATATTATAAATTATTTATAAGAAGATATAAAGAATTATAAATAGTATATAAAAATATACTTTTAAAGAAAAAAATTTAAAAATTCAAGAAGTATATAAAAATATGGTCGCAAGCCTTATAAAAATGTTTATTTAAAATTAATAAGTAAATTAAAAAAAATTTTTAAAAAAAATTATAATACTAAATAGTAAAAACGGAGAATTAATTGTTTTTTTTACTAAATTTATAAAAAAGTATAAAGATTTTGCTAAAAGATAATTATTTAATTTTTTAGTATTAAATTTTAAAAAAAATAAAAATATTTTAAATAAATTATTAAAAAAAAATTAATAAAATAAATTAAATAATTATAAATTTTTAATAATCCTACTTTTTTTAAGGAACAATTATACAAGTTATTAAGAAAAATAAATAAAGTAGTAAATATTATATAAAAGTAAATTATAAAAAATGATAAAAAGTAAACTAGAATAAATAAATAAAATAATCAATTTTTTATACAATTATTAATTTAATTATGATATATAAAAAGTTTAACAAAAATTAATTATAATAGAAATTCTGTTCAACTTTTAGTATTGAAGTTTATAAATTTAAAAAACTTTTTTTTATATTTTTTTTTAATATTCAAATTTAATTTATTTTTAAGAATTTTTAAAAAGGAAAATAAAATTTATTAATATAAATTGAATGCTTTCCATTTATAATTTTGAAAATATTTTTATTTAACTTTTAATATTGCATTTCGGAAATTTTCTTAACTTTTTATATTTTCAATAATTTACAAATTTGATATTTATAATAAAATTATTAATAATTTTAAAAATTCATTATAAACTGAAAATTTGAAACTTTTTTTATATTACAAGCTATAAATTTTTAATTTTTTTTTTTAAAATACATTGAAATTCTGTTTAACTTTTAATATTACAATAATATTTTTTTTTAAACTTTTTTTAATAATTTTTTTATGTTTAAATTTTATATTTATTCTAAAGAAAAATTAAAAAAAAATTGAAATACTGTTCAACTTAATTTTAATTTAAATTTTTTTAACTTTTTTTTTTTAAAATTTCTAATAATTTTTATATTTAAATTTTTCTATGAAAGTGAAAAATTAAAATGTTAATATTTAATTCAATAAATTTGAAATTCTGTTCAACTTATCATTTTTTAATCTTTTAAAATTTTTTTTTTTTTACCAATTTTTGTTTATTTTAAATCTTAAAAAAATTGATTTTTTAAAAAAAACTATACATTCTGTTCATCTTTTGATATTTCTTTAATCTTTTTATTATTTCTAAAAAAATATAATTTTTATTTTTATATAAAATTTCTCAAATCGATCTTTTTGTTGTAATTAAAAAATTTTTAATTAAAAATATATAAAAAAAGTTACATTTATTTTTATCATTTATTGTTGCAATTTTTAAATTTTAAAATTTTTTATTCCATTTATTATCTTTTAATAAATTTATCTTTTTTTTTAAATTTTTTTGAGTAATTTTTTTTCAAAAATAAATTTTAATACTTTTTAAAAAATTTTTAATAGAAAAATGAAAATTTAAATCCTTCCGATTACTCGTCTCGTTGGTTTTTGAATTGCTTCCAGGAAAAGTTGCCTTTCTGTATTGTCGTGAGTTTGTGGGATCTTTTTTTATTCAACGGCTACATTGCAATTACTATAAGCGCGTTGGCCGTCGTGGCTTATTTAAAAGGTTTTAATAGTTTTTTTTTTTTATAAAAAAGTTAATTAAATTTAATTTAATTTAGAAATTCGTTTTTTTAATAAAAAATTATTTAAATTTAATTCGATATCGAAAATTTTAATTTTTATTTATTTTATTTGAATTTAATTTATAAAAAGTTTTATTTGTTTATTGAAATTTATATAAAATTAATTTAATTAATAAATTTTTTTTCCTTTTTAAGTATCAAAAAGTAGTTAAATAATATTTTAAAAATTTTTACATTAATTTTTAAACATGTTTTACTAATTTTATGAAATAAATTTAATAAACTTAAATTTAATTAGTAAAAGGTTTTAATTTTTATTTAATATTAAAAACTAATTGAATTTATTTTGTTTAAAATTGTCAATGTTAATTAATTCTTCTAATTAATTAATAAAAAAAAATTCCACAATTCTTTTTAGTTAATTTAATTTGAATTTTTTTTTTAATTCTTAATTTTAATTAATGTTTAAATTTACTAATAGAACATCTTCTTACTTTGGATTACAACCAAGCGCTTCTTTTATTATCGCATAAACTGGTAGATTACAATTTTGATAGGAAAAAGTTTTTTAAAATAGTTGATCGGTACGCTCAACTCGTTTCCCCGCGACAATTGGATCGCCTCGCTAGAAATTCTACTTCAGCGGAACATACATAGAAGCGATTAATTTTTTTCTTGCTCTGATTATTTTATAATTCACTTTGAAAGTGAAGATTTTGCAGTAGTAGTCATCTTTTAAGCGAGGTGCGCTTAAATTTTGAATGTGTTGATTTTTAATTCTTATATTAAAAATAAACAAAGTAATTAAGTGATTTATTAATTTATTGAACTTAAAACTAATACTGAAGTTTTAATTATAATTAGCTTATGTTTAAAGTCTTCACAATAAAATAAAAGTGGCAAATTTATAAAGTTAGCAGCGTAGTAATCCAATTAAAGCGAGACACTATTAAAGCTGGAAAGTGTAAATTTTTATTAATTAAAAATTAATGAAGGATTAATTAAAATTGTATTGTAATTTATTTATAACTTCGTTGAATTAAAAATTAATAAAGACGACGTTATTATTATATTAAACTTTTAATTTAAAATCTTCACTCTGGAAAATAAGTAGTAGTTTTATTAAAGTTAGCAGCGTAGGAGCCACCGTTCAAAGAAGGGGCTTTATCAAAGTTAAAAAGTTAAAATTGTATTAAATATTTTATCAATTTATTGACCTATAAATTTATGACAAAAGTTAGCATTTTATGAATGTTAGCAACGTAGTAGTCATAGTTCAAATGAGGCGCTAATAAATTTAAAGTATACATTTTAACCTTATTGACATAAAAATTAATAAGGAAATTAAAAGGTATAATCCTTTGCGCGAAATTAATATGAAGTTGTAATAATAATTTTTTTATTAAAAAAATCTTTGCGATAAAAAAAATTGGTAGCCTTAAAAAAGTTAGCAAGCGTAGTGCTTTCCTCCAAACGAGGTGCTATTAAAGTTAAAAAGTGTGACGTTTGCTTTTTAAAAATTATTAAAGTGTAGTTATTATTGTAAAAAAAAAAAAAATTTCTTTAATAAAATCACTTTGCAGAAGGAAAAAGAAGGATGAATTTTTAAGTAATCATTCTGTGGAAAAGTTTTCTATAGGAATGACGACTCCGCTATAATTACTGTACTTATTTCGTGTAAAACATAGACTTTTGAAGGGCTCAATAGTACTGTAAGAATATAATTGACCATTTACGCTAATATTATTTTAAATAAACTAAAGTATAAGTCTTTGAATTTTATTATTTGCTGACCTCGAATTACAAGCGAGTGCTTTTTAACATTAGCTTCTTTAAGCGAGGTACATAGAGCGAAAATAAGGGATATACTAAATAAACCCCACTACCACCGAAGAAAAAAATATTTTAAAATTTCAAAAAGATACTACTATAATATTTATAAACAAAACAAGGAATACTGATTTAATATTTAATACTTTAAAATGAATTATTTATTAAAAATACTTAAGGAATTAATAAATATATTTTCCTTAACTTTTTTTTAAGTTTATTCTTTTTTATTAAAAATTGTTAAGATTTTTTTACATAAGTATATTTAAAATTTCTTAACCTGAAGAATTTAAGTGTCAAATTCCGCATTCAAATACAATAATTACCAAATCGAAGGAAAAAATCGCTTCATATTAGATTACGATTTATACAAGCACCCTTATTGGTCATTCTTGCATGCGCACTCCTCCACATATTTTTCGATAATGAAAAAGGCCTAAAAAGATTTGTAAACTCAAAGAAATTCGAAGGTTGAGTTAGTGACTGCACTTGCTGTCCACAAAAGTGGAATACAGAGAAACATAAAATTTAATTATTATTTTATATCCTGTAAAGATTGTAGGCAGAAATAAACAAAGTAGTTATCGAATAAATAAAACAAAGTCAACCTAGAGCTTAAAAGGTTTGTGAATGGTCTTTTTATAGAAGAGGTTAGAACGATTTTATGTTTGGATATGTTTGTACTTTTTACTGCCGTTTCTGAGGAAGCTATTAAGTTCTTTAAAAATAAAATCGGTAGTAATACAGGGATGATTTTAATTACGAACAGAGTAAACTATAAAGAAAAGTGAATAATGTAAGAAATTTTTTTTAAAAAATACCTCTTTGCATAGGAACTGATCCTGCCGGCCTCTCGCTCTTTTACATTCCTTATTCTTCATTGTTCACAAAGAAGATTTTTTTTTTTCGAATTAATAAAAAATTCTCAATTCTAATTCTGTATTGTACACTTCATAATCCGTTCCAGTACTCTTGATAACTTGGTTTTGTTCTAAGCTTACAAGCTCTATCTATAATAACAATTGGTTATTACTCTGTTTACATTTTCCTCTCAAAAGAAATTTACTTCCAATTAAAAATTTTACAATCTTCGTATACTAAGTAAGTTAACTATGTAAAAGAAAGTAATGCCAATAATTATTTTATTAAACTTACTGATCCTGATATATGTTAGGAATGTTAATAAGAAAATAAAGTTTTTTAAACCAACCACACTTCATTACTCACTTTCTCACTATGTATATACCTTTACAAAAGGCCAAATATTATTTCTGTGTTTGCAAAATTAAATATTTTTACCAGAGTAAGTTATAATTTTTAACTTTGTTTATTTGGTATTAAAATAAAAAAAAATGGGATCAAGTTAATGCTTTCAGGGTTGTAAAAATAATTTTTATCGTTCTGTTTTTTTAATACTAATTATTGGTTTATTAACGGATCATTTTTCCTGCGAAAATTTTAAATGAGGCTTTTATTATATTTCGTTCTGTAAATTGTCTTTGCTTGTCTTTCGCTTGTGTTTACTAAAATCTATTAACGTTTCATGATCTTTTGTTATATGGATTTATGAGTAATTTTATTGTCTATTTTTTGCTGTAAGGGAAGTGGTTGTGGTTTCGCTAACATCTGATGTAGTATTATTAGATAAAAAAAAATTATAGTGAATTGTGGGTTGTTGTCTGTCGTTTCTTTTTAAATGCCTTTAAAATAGCCTGTACGGTAAATAATTTTAAAAAAATAGGGGCGCTATAAAACAAGGATAGAAAAAACAGTTTTTTTCAAAAATAATATGAGAACGTGTGTTAATTTTTACCTTGATAAACAAAATTAGAGAAAGTTTTCTAAACCAAAATTAAAGGGTTACCGTATATAACAGAAATAATATTGTATTTATAATGATAACAAGGTTTGTAAAATGACTACTAGGTGTAATAAAAAATGACATTAAAAAAAGAATTAAAGAATTTGTAAGATTATAGCCCTCTGGACCTTTATGTTACAAACACTAAATTACAAAATAATGTCAATTAAATATTAAAGAATACTAGTAATATGATTTGGTTAATCGACATACTTTAAGGCTCTGGGAGTGATTATTTGATTATTTAAAAACTTCTTAAACGTAGTCGTGGTAAAAAGTGTTCTAGTTCAACTTAAAACTAAAAGAAATTATTTAGTAACTATAATAACTTTAATTATAACGAAATGTGCTACCTTTATGGGAAGTGTTAACAATGAAGTCTATTTTTTTACATTTATAACGAAATCGAGAAAGCATGGAGTTTGCATGCAAGGAATCCACGTAGATATAAAATGAAAACTTGGCACTCGCATCGCTGCTGAGGAAGCTCTGACTCGTTACAGTGTATTAGAATTTACGAGGGCGCGGTTACCTACGCGACCATTAAAGACCGAAAAAGAGAGCCGCGTCGGTAGGACCCGAACTCACCTACCTTGAGTATGCGCGTCAATGCTCTTAACCGCTGAGCTACTCTATCCTCGTGTGATGGATTTACATGTTTAGTCTGCTACAGTGCACATTAAACATGAGAGATCTGTGCACCTTTTTTGACTTTTTTCCCAATATTTTATGCATATAAATAAAATTCCATGCTTCAGTTTCATTTAAACGACCGAATTTTTTGATTATTTCGTGTGGAATTTCCTATTTGCACATATAGAATTCAATACTTAATTTTAATAGCTATATTTTTAGGCTCGCGGAGGTACCAAGCCCCCGATCATTTCATTGCATGCGAAATACTACATCTTTTAAAACCTAATTAACATTTATTATCTAGTTATATAACTTTTGCCTATCGCACAATTTTTTAAGATAAATGCATTAATCAGCAAGCAAAGATGTTTTTGCTAAAGAATTAGTCATTGCTTTTCTTAAAGAGATATAAATAACAGAGCTTACTGAAAACAAAGAGAAAGCGGAAAATCAGGTAGTAAATAAAAAGCAACGCTTGTTCATAGCTAATTTATAAAAATTAACCTAATTATAAGCTGTACTGCACACCCCTTTCTCCTTAAAGTCGTCACTAAGAATATATACATTAAAGGACAATACTGAGGAAAAAATTAAAAGGGAAGTCATCAACTCCTTGATTGCAGATTCAAGCTGTTTTCATCGTTTATTCGAACTGGAACAAAATAAAGTAAATCAAGTGCTTTTGCAAATGAACATATTTACAACAATGGAATTAGTTTTTAATCCCAAGTTGAAAGCGGAGACCAATAGGTTACTACGTCAATTGAGTATACGCCTATTGCGCTCTATTGGTAGCCCAGTTCAAAAAGTTTTGCTTAATGTTTTAATTGACCATGGTATCAATAAGAACTGCGTGGGGGAAAGAAATATAAACTGGAATGACTAAAGGTAAATATGGTTATCCTTAATGTCTTCTAGAGGTAAAAAGTATATCTACCTTCAAGGAGAGTAAAAGAAGTAAATAATGCGGGACAGAAAACTAACCGTGTTACATACCTCGCGTATAACCATGTGGAATGGCACATAGTAAGTTAACTCCAAAGATGATGCCAAACAACAGAGTAAACAGGGAGTTCCTTGAGTTCTAAAGCTAATCTTTTGAATTCTTTAGCATATATTTATACTTTATTTATTTATTTTTAACTCTCCCCATACAAGCAAACCTTTCTTTCTTTCAGGTTAGTTTAGCGCTTTCTGAAGAATTAGACGAAAGCAAGTTGGTAGCGATGTCTCCTGCACTTCTAGTATAAATTTGTACAAAAGTAAAATTTTTAAATTAGATAATGGATTTGGATGAGCTAAAAACTTTTCATAATTTATTTTGGCCTTACGTTGAACATATTATGCTAGTGTTTCAATATTTTGAAGTCGTGATTCATAATAAAGATTGCAATATGCCA